CATTGTGTGTTCCCCTCTCAGATCTCTGTCACTACATATTTGACCCTTTTTACCCCATCTACCTCCTTCCTCCCCACTTCCTCCTACCCTCTGGTAACCACTAGTCTATTGTCTATGTCCATAGTTTCTGTTTATCCTGTTCATTTGTTGCTTTTAGGTTTATATCCCACATATAAGTGATATCAATTTGATTTTTAACAAGGGTGCCAAGACAGTTCAATGGGGAAAAGAACAGTCTTTTCAGAAAATGAGACTGGAACAACTAAGTATACACATGCAAAAGAATCTGGTTGGACTCCTATATCACAGCATATGTATAAATTAACTCAAAATGGATCACAAACCTAAATAATATCTAAAACTTTAAAACTTCAAGATAAAACAGGAGTAAATCTTCGTGGCCTCGAGTTAGTGATTTTGTAGGTATGATAACAAAAGCACAAATGATGAATGAAGAAATTCATGAATTGAACTTCATCAAAATTAAAAACGTTGTGCTTCAAAGACCACCAAGAAAGGGAACAGAAATTGCACAAAATTGGAGAAAATATTTGCAAATCATATATTTGATAAGCATCTGTATCCAGAGCATATAAAGAACTCTTATAACTCAATAATAAACAGATAACCCAATTAAAACATAGGCAAATGATCCGAATAGATATTTCTCCCCAGAAACGTATGTGAATGGATAAAAAAAACATAGCTAGACACTCGACATCATTAGTCATTAAATAAATTCAAATCAAAACCACAATGAGATACCACTTTACACCCATTATGGTGGCTATAATAAAAAAAGCAAATGAGGATATAGACAAATTGAAACACTCATTGCTGACTAAATTATAAATGGTGTAGCCACTTTGGAATATAATTTGGCAGTTCCTCAAAAATCTTAAGATAGGAATGCCATATGACTGAGCAGTTCCACTCCTGGCTATACACCTAGGAGAAATGAAAACATGTCTTCATAAAATCTTATACACAAATATTCATAGCATTATTCATTATAGCCAAAAGTGGAATCAACCCAAATATCCAACTGATGAATGAATAAATAAAATATGCTATTTCCATATAATGAAGCACTGGCACAAATAAAAGGAACAAAGAAGTGATACATGTTGTAATATGGACAAACCTCAAAAGCATTTGAAGTGAAATAATTCAGTCACAAAAGAACACATTGTATGGCTCCATTTATATGAAAATATCTGCAATAGGCAAATCTGTAAAGACAAAGTTAAGTGGTTGTCTAGGGCTCATGGGGATAGGGTGGCAGATAATGGGGGTACAATAGACCGAAAGTTTGTGGCCTCCTCCCCCCCACCCAAATTCATGTGTTGAAACCTAATCTCCAGTGTGATAACATTTGAAGGCAGGGCCTTTGGGAGGTGATTAGGTCATGAGGGTAGAGTCCTTATGAATGGGATGAGTGCCCTTAAAAAGAGACCCTAGAGAGCTCCCTCATCCCATTCAATTGATAAGGTTATAGCAAGAAGATGACTGTCTATGAACCAAGAAGTGGGCCCTCAACAGACACTGAATCCACCAGCACCTTGATCTTGGACTTCCTAGCCTCCAGAACTGTGAGAAATAATTTCTGTTGTTTATGTGTTACCCAGTCTTTGGTATTCTGTTATAGCAGCCCCAAGGGACAAAGACAGGGAGTGACTGTTAATGGGTATGAGATTTCTTTTTAAGATGATGAAAGTGTTCTAAATACAATAAAAACCACTGAATTTTATTTAATTTTAAATAGATGAATTTTATGTTATTGAATTATCACTAAGCTTGTTTAAAAATCTTGTAAGGACTGTTTGAAGTCCTGTTTTGGAAAAGGATGAGATGAGTAAT